TTTTGTGTTATAAATCAACATTGTTATAAATCAACATTGATCTGTTCTGTTGTTTCTGATTCTGGATGTTTTTTCCAGAACTGGTGCATTCTTTTCAGATATCCTCTTCTCGTTGGACTTGATTTGTAATAGCAGATCATTATTTCTTTGTATTTAGTCTTTGTATATTTGCGATGGGTAAACAACTTTTCTTCCAGTAGTCCTGTAGTTGCTGGCCCTGGTTGCTCAGGCGACAGTCCTGAGTCCTGTAGCCCACTTGTCACCAGATGTCCAGGTACCAGAACTCCTAGCATAGTCCTTGTTGACCCAGGCAACAACCAATCTGGTATGGGTTTCTATAAATTAGTGTAAACACTCTTTGTCTGGCTCTGATGAGACCTGTCCAGTATGGTCGAACTTCTGGCATAGCTCTTATCCTCCTTGGAGCACACAAGCCCCACAACCATGTCAAGGTAGTGCATTGTTGTTGTTGTTGTTGTTGTTATTGTTATTTTAAATTTATTGGCTGCCCAACTCCAATGAATTTTTTTTTCTTTTTCTTTGATGCACCTTCAGTTTAATAAATTAAGAATGATGTACATCAGTATAAGCTTTGCAACTGCATGATGTAAGTCTGTTCTTATTTGTGTGATAAAAATGTAGTTTAATGCTTTGTACAGTTTATGTTATAACAAGCTATACATTTTTAACTTTGGGTAACTGGGAATTTGTGTATGCTTAGAGACTATTTATAAGTAGGCATTTTCTATATATTGCTGCCTTTCTAAACCCACGGACTGTGAAACTTTCTAAACCTGTGAATCTGTGCAAAACCTCCTGAGAGAGATTTACTGTGTGAATTTGGCTTTAATATTATTATACTGTTATGGAAAATTTATTTTTAATTTTTTCATGTTCTAACTATAGGGAAAAAAAAAGAGATTTTGATGGTGGCCATGTGAAGAATTTTTGCTGAATTCCCCCTATCATTTGTGCAGGATCCTCTGTTTCATATGGATTTCTGTAAGATGTAAAAAAATAAAAGTGGGGGACAGAGAAAGAAAAGAAACATTTTTTTCTCCCAGGACTCTTTCTCATTGCAAAATGGGGTTTGCATCTCTTGTCCTCCCCTTTCTGACACAAAGAAGTCTTGGTATTTACAGTTTATTTTCAGAGTTTATTGATATCTTTCCCTAGCCTAGTTGAGTGGAAAAAGGGGGGCATGCGAGCTCTAGAGTCTTAAGGTTTTCCTCTCCTCTGAATGTAACAACCCCTTTTTAAATCTAATTTCTTTTGAGATATTATTCTGGGGTAAAACACTACTGCTTTCCTTGTTGCAGCCTCTTTCTCCCTCTGGAGAAAGTCTTTTTTCTTGATTTCAGGAGTTTTGGCCAAATATACATTTATTATTTGAGAACTCCTGCATTTTCAGACTTTCTTTAAGCACAAACAACAAAATGAAGAACAATTTTCTAAGTCTTACACATGGGCAAGGGAGGTTTGTGTGTGGCTGGGTTATTTACTCTGTGGGTAAAATCTCTCCTCAAGGTGGAAAAATGAGAGTATGAAGGCTGGAAAAGAGGCTGGAAAAACAAGGGACTGCACCATTCCCTGTAACTTCAAATTATAAAGAATGGTGATGTTCCAGAGAAGTTTAATCATATATAGCCACTATGTTTAAAAGGTGACTTTTATTTCAATGAGTTGTCATTTGAATACATTGTTTAGAGTTTGAAAATTAAGCATTCATTTATTGTCTGTGTTTTTATGTTTTCTGTACATATACAGAGCTTTTTATATATTTTGGACCTCACATCTAGTAGTTGCCAACAAAAACAAGCTGGAAAACCATGACAATCTGCTCTGCAATTTTGTTTTGCCTTTTGTCATTCTGTAGGAGATTCTTTACTAAAACTTTGCACATTTTTATTTTTATGTTTAATTTATAGTTGAAATATGTTGCTTCAGTTTATGTTAGATTTGTGAGTTTTAGCACCACCACCAGCAATTCTCTGTGACCCAGCTACCTGGCATTCTAACAGAAATCCATCAAATTGCTTTGGAACTAAATGATTTCCGTCTATCCCTGCTCACTGCCAATTGCCTATCTGGTATGGTATATCGTTTGGATCCCTTTTGCAGAGGGGGGGGAAATATGATCTTTAACCAATTTTAGACCATTTCACATAGGCTGAAACAGTGATCCCATCTTCAGCCTCAGCTGTGTGTTTTTCCTTGTGACCTGATGATGGCCTGAAGAACTGCTGAATGCTACCACCGGATACTACTAATCACCAACTGCCTTGTTGACAAGCCCAACTGCTGTAAAGGGGTGTATGAGGGTGGATCTGCTTAGACACTTGCATCACACTGCCAGAAAGTCATCTTTTCTGGAGAATCATTGTCTAGCCTCACTTGACCTAGCAAGCGGTCAACCAATATTTCTTCCATGTATCAGGGTCAAGAAAGGCTGCCTGAAACATAACTGTGGGGTTAACCAGCCTCCTCCTCATTTAAAATCTAAGCAGTGGCATCCTAGAAGCCTTTGCCTGGCTCTACACCATAAAATCTTGCTATTGGCTTTATATTATTAAATGTATCTGTAATTGGTGTGAATTATCTTAAAGAAATGGATCTGTCAGCTGAAACATATCAAATATTGGTGACTTGACCCCTACAGGTTGGCAACAGCTGATGCAACAATATAGTCCCTTTCCCTTAATATGTGTGCATTTATTTCAAGGGGTGATGGAACATGGGGTATCTGTACTGGGAAAACGAAAGGGTTTCCTAATACACAGTTTTTTAAATTTCACACTAAATAACTACATAAATTCCATTGGGCTTTCACTACTCCTTAATGGTGTCACATTTTTAGGCTTTTCTGTTATTGCCATAACCTGCCCGTGGGAAATGTTTTGGGGTGACTACTCTAATAAAGACTTCTTAGTTAAATATAGCTGAATCTCTTTTTTCCCCTTATGTTTTGAAGAGTTTAAAGAAGGGTTATATGGGGCATAGTAGCTTGCCATACTAGCATCTGGAACTCCCGTCCATTCATTCATTCATGGGAATAAAGCACATAAAAGTTTAGCCTCTGGCACGGAAGGAAACTGGTGGGTTTAAATGGTTATAACTTAAGTCCCTAGTTGAAAAGCTGACTTCTGAACATGTTCCTAATTTAAAGGGTATTATTCATAAAGTATAAAGAACGATGTTCCCTGGTTTAAATTCTTAGAAATCAAATTGTCTTTGCATAAATTCTTGTTAATCTGAAACTTCATCCCTGGCTTCACAAAAAACACATCACCCTAGATTTACTATGACAAGGAAAAATGTATTCTTTTACAACAAAAAGTTGTGTTATATGGGCAGGGAATCCTGGAGTGTTGTACTTGCAGTTTGGCTGAGACCACCCTGGAAAAAAGCACAATGACCCAAAACTATTCCAGGTTGTGTGTTAGAGATAACTTGGATAGTCACCCATTCAGCTGATTTCCAATATTTCAAGATGTTTGTCCTTGGCTATAGGGTCTTCTCATACAGACATATGTCCTCCTTTACAGAATACCAGCATGCATGTTACCTTGGACAAGTAATTAATCCAGGATAGTGTGTGTGCCTGCAGTACCTTGCTATATACTGGTAGTGGGGAGACAATGGGAATGTGTCACTGTCACTTTCTACGTTGCTGGACCCATGACGCTAGCAGCTAGGTTTCAGTATAGCAAGCCTCAACCGCAACTTCCTAGTCACTGAAAATGGGGTCAACATGCACAAGGCAGCCAGGCAGATGCAGTGAGAATATTCATTGCAGAGACTGTATTTTGTACTTCATTATCAGGGTTCCATTAGTGACAGGAGATTCTCAGAGCAGGAAGGCAGTGAACATAAACATCACCTTCAACTAAGTTTGAGGAAGTCTGAGAAAAGGCAAAGTCATCTTTCTTTTTGCAAGAAGACAGCAGAAAGGATTGAAAGCAGAATATAAATTCTGTACATCTCTTCTGCCCATACAGAGACCATCAGATGATTTTAATGGATTCCATTCTCGAGTTGCAAGATTTAGTTCAACCAGATGAGAGAATTCCTGCCTAGTCTGTGTCTGTCTTGGGAAAGTCTGATGTTTTTGGTGGATGTCTTTCCTGTAGACTTGTCACCTGTAGATTTATGAAGACTACAAGAATGCAGGATACTTCTACCAGAGTGAAAGAGTAAGTGGATTTTGAACAAGTAGGCTGATTCTTCTGAACGTCACATGAAGCAACTGAATTCTTCTCCTTATGGTTATGTGGCTGCCTAGGCAAGAGGTAACAGCACATAATAAAGCCAGGCAGTTGGAGATATATTTCCTTGACAAGTGGAGCGAAGCATTCATTATTATGAATATCCTGGGAGCAGCCAAATGTTAGAAAACAGCTGTCCCCTCCCTGTAAATAAGTTTACTGCTATTTTTTTTTTCTGGCCATGGGGAAGTTACTTCATGAATCATAATATGATGCTTCCTGCATTGTGACTTTTTAAAGGCAGACTGCCAAATACAAAAGTGTGCAAAACATTAGGGTGAATTCTCAAGCCAGTGAGCAGAGAGAAGTATAATTTTCCTTATTTTGTTGTTCATCAGCACTCCTATTGCTTTTTGGGGTGGCCCAATTTTGTGGCAGCCTGCAAAAAGCATGCTTTAATTAGTTTGTTTCCTATTGAAATTTTGAAAATATTTTTCTGAAAGCCACCCAGCCAATTTTAATGAGTTGAATAACAGCACTCAGTATGGATACCACTCATTTACTGTTGTGGCTCTGTATGTTCCTATGACAGAAAACGTGAAATGCTTTGAGGTTTGTTCTGTTGGAATAATTCAAAATATTCTGACAAAGTGTTTCCCAAAGGGGCTATTCCATTTTAAGTTTTGATTTTTTTTTTTCCAAAACAGCTCTAGCTAGCATCTAGTATTATTTTTGGCCTGCTAATCACTAGCTAATGGAGCAAATATTTCTGGATCAGACACTTGAGAATTAAAATCTTTTTTCAGAGATTTATATGCACCTATCATCTCAATAAGTCCTATACATTATAAAGGAACTTAGAGTAGCGCAAAACAAAAACAAAAACAAAAAACCACACACACAACAAACAAAAAACAAAACAAAAACAAAAAATCTAAGGCACCTTTTGACAGAATTGAAGGGGAAAGTAATCTAGCAGCCTAGAACTATAATTCAAGCCTTGGCAGAAAACCATAAACATTTACCATAAGTCTATGGCATCCAAGAACTAGAAGAGATTGATAATGGCATCTGATTTTTTAAAAATGCAGCTTTATGTCTTTTTCCTTTTTAGTTGTCTAGATAGGGACATTTCTTGCTTTTCTGGCAGAGCTCTTGGCTCCTTTGCATGCTTAATCTGCTGTTCTGCAGTTATCCAATTACTGCTTATTGAGAAAGTATAAATTGGATTAGGCACTTTTAACAGATTTGCTGAGTGGTGCAGATGTGGAAAACTCTTCCATTCAATGACTCTCTGATGGTTCATCTTCAACGTTCAGTCTCAGATTCAGCTCTTTATGGCAATGAATTACAAGCTGCCTACTTGAACGTACCCAATCTGCATTTATTGCAATTCTCCTAACTTAAAATTGTAGTTAAGGATAAGTACTCAGAAACCAGCGAGTAACTTGCTGTTCTAATAGCAGTGCTTAAATCAACCCATAAATTAAGCCTTTGTAAGGTATTATGAGCCTGCCTCTCACTTAGGAAAAGAATATTGATTCCCAACCATCTCCTCCAACAGTTTTTCATTCAGGAGGGAAATATCATTTGCAATCTCCTAGAATCAATAGTGCTACTTTTCCATAACCAGTGAGGAATGAATATATAAATCAAAACCTTGTTTTTATTGAAAAGGTACTATAAATTTTGCCCCAGTAAAGGGAATCCTAGCTTCCAGGGATTGATCTTCCAGATATTTCTGAAAGGCAGAATCACCTGTTTATAATTCAATGCTTCTGTACATAAGGGGCTTAATGAATTTCCTAACAAATCCTCCTATCCTTTAAAACAAGCACCCATCCCACCTATTGAGAACAGCTAGAATACTTGTGTCTGCCATGTAATTTTATGCAATCAATGCTCAATAGCAGCACCTTTATTTGGTCAAAATTCATTGCATAAAACAGCCTACCTAGAAAAGATACTAGAAACACAATCAATCTGTTTTGTGCAGATGTTTAGTTATTGTTTCTGGGTAGTGAGGTAGCAACCAAGTTCAATAGATCAGGAAGATAAATTGTCTCAAGGTCTAGAACCAGACAGTCTTGCCATATGCTGCTGAGACTTTGCGCTACTATGTTTATGTCAGAAAACTTCGCAAGAGGTGTCTGGAAGTTATATGGGACTGGTTGCAAAAAATCTTATGGCCAATGTGACTGTTTCTCTTTTCTCCATTATGTACTTTCAAAAGAAGAAAGGAAAGAGAAAAAATGGAATTCAAAGTAGCACTAGGAGAAAAACAATGCGATCAGACGCTACAAAGACCACTTCCGGCTTCTGTTGTACATAGCATCTCCATTGTATGCTAACTGGAAGCATTCAACTAGACTAGGGCCACTAGAACACTGATTCTACGTTGCCCATTTCCACAAAGACTGTCTTCAGCTGGGAATAGTATTCAATTGCTGCTTCACCATTCTCTCGGCCAAACCCTGAAAAGAGGGAGAGATCTTTATGATAAAACTGCAACCATATGCTCTAAAAATCTGCAAAGAAGCAGAGAATGAGGCATCTGTTGAAATGAGCTTAATAATCTCACTCCAGAAGTGAGCAAAACTCTGACTCATTAGATTCCTAATAATCAAATAAAAATGATAAAATATAAATGACAAAGAGACTTCTTCATGTACAGATCAATGGTGTGTTTTTCCCCTCCCACTGAATGAGCAGTTATAGGAGTCAAACATAGAGTTTACAAATCCAACACTGATTTAGAACTAGTTTTACTTGTCTCTACTTTAATTTAAAATGCTGTGTATATACTTCTCTGCTTACTGTGCAAAACTTTTAGGCAGGTGTGAAAAAATGCTGTAAAGTAAGAATGCTTTCAAAAATAT